ATTACAAGGCGAACTCCCAACTCTTGAGCCACGATCGCCCTTTAGACTAACTTATGAATCATTCAAGCATAAAACGGCACCTAACTAAGGATTGGCTGCTGTTTTGTCTACACAAAACAGACAATTTAGCATAGAACCTTTTTTAAATTGTATCTGTAGGCACTTTGTTACTAGCAGCCTGCTGTAAAAAAAACTTAATCTGTTCCCATTTCTTTAGCTGAACTCATGGAAAAAAGCCAAAGATAACACAGTTTGACAGTAGTGTTTTTGCACCCACAAGGCAATTCCTTGTTGACCATAACCAGAGTTATTAGCCACACATTTGGCATAGAGAGCTGTATCTCCCTTAAAGATTTTAAAAAGCTAGATAAGTGGAGAAAGAAGTGGCAGGCCTAAAAAGCTATATGCAGCAGATGGACAGTATCTCAAAGTCATGTCCTTGAGAAATAGGAAAGAAATACAGCAAAGATGTGACATAGCCTTCAGTTGATCCATCTACTCTTTGGTGAAAACCCATCAGAAATGGAAGGATGGCTGTCAAAAAGCAACTCTTAAGAAAAGGAAACAGGAAGAAGAGGCTGAGGTCAACACTAGATTCTGATGCACCATATATATGATTGGCAACAGCAATCCAGTGAAAGCATATCTTTACTGTATTCCACTGTATGTTTTTCTATCAATCATGGATTGGCTTTCCCAGAGTGTGGGCCTCAACATTCTTCAGATGTAGAACCATCTTGACAGAGAGCAGAAGAAAAGGCAGCCAACATCCAAAGAAGAGCTTTGGAATATCCATCAAGGAGCTTGGACACTATTTGAAGAAATTCCAAAAAATTCCTAAGAGAGCTCTGGCTTTATTCCACCTTTTATTCCTCAATAAAGGTTTATACAACATATTGACTTTCAAGCTTCTTTTTTTAATATATACACTATATTTTCATGTACGAATGGATTTCAATAAATTGCTCCACTGCTTAAGACTTGCACTCTACTGTAATCCATCAAAGAAGAAACAAACATTATCAAAGAGCAAGCTGGCAAGCTTCATCCTTAGATACTATGAGGGAAAAAAACTGACATTTTAAATGAAAGCAGCATTTCTGTGCAATTTATTCCCACCACAAAGTAATCATTTCTAACAATGTAATTGTTCTATGCACAGACGTTCTTCTTCCAGCACTGCTTCATAATGTACACAAGACACGTTTTACATAATAAAGTGACTTCACATGCAATGCCTGAAGCAATGATTTAATGATCAGAGTCCAGTTCCAACTGCCATTTAATACTTTGCTGCACGTTAATTGTTATTGCTGGAATTCAGTTTCAGCTCCTCCCATCCTGTGATCTAAATTTGTGTTAATTGAATTGTCAGTGAAACACCACCTGGCTCAACTGAATCTAAAGAAAAGCATTTGTCAGTGCTCAGCACAATTACAAGGTGCAGGTAGTCTGACTTGACAGACTGGATGCTGAATAGGGCCGAAAAACACTAAACCAGCACTGTCGAAAAACGATCTGCTCTATTGGACAGAGAGCAGAGTAACGGTTTCGAGCAGCATAGCCAAGAAAATAAACCCCCAGGAAACCTTCAGGAAAATAAACGTTATGAGAGTAAGTTAGTAGGTTCCAGTTCGTCAGGCATCAGACCTACAGCAGGGTAGCCAGAAGTAGATATATGTATGTAACGGCAGGGTGATACTGGAAAAAAGAAATATCAGCAGCAGCAACCTTGGAAACATTAAAACAAAACAAAAAAACATTGTGTTTGCTGTCAAGAGGACAGTGCACAGCAACTAGGAATGAGGCATTCTTGGAGCTTGACCAATAGCTCTGGGATTAATTAGCTGAGTAAAAGTAGCCCAAGGAGTGATGTTACACTTCAGTGAGGTTTGTGCTGTTATTTAGAGGTTATTCAAAGACAACAACATGATGCTGACTTTTTTAAAGCCCTAGGTATTTAGTGCTTTATTATACAAAATGAAAATAAGGCCTCTAAACAGAATTGCCAATTGAATTGTGATATATGATATACAAGCACAGGAGTACTACATCAGGCATTTTTTGCAGTTTATTCTTTAAAAGCATATCATGCAATTTATTTCAGTTTTCCATGGGATGGGGGTTCACACTGATGTAGACGTCCCAAAAACGCATGTTTTAAACATGATATAGTTGGCTTTAAAGGGTTAAGACTTACATTGCTAACACTGCTGAACATTTCTCACAGAGCCCACACATGTGCAACCTTGTACACAGTGAACAAACCTGTTCTGCTGCCTTAGCAGATGACAATCTCGACAACAGCGCTAAAATTTGCTGATCAAGAATGTAGCCACACAAAAAGGCGTAATTTATTTTCTTTTTAAAAAAAAATGTAAAAGGCTATGTGACAATAATCAGTTAAATCTTTAATTCCATGACATCAGTTTCTCAAAAATGAACTTCAAGAATGAACTTGATGCTAACTTTGGGATCCCACTTTGTAATTTCATTACAGGAGGGTTGTGTAAGACGGTCAGTCAGGTTAAGGTGTATGTCAGTAGATGGTTATGGGTCAACCAATGCTAGAAGATTAAAAAAAAAAAAAGTAGTGCTGCTGATGCCCTTTGTCTTTTCAAACTGAATAAATGAATACTTTTACCATCACATAGTATATCAACTCTTTATTTTCCATCTTTCAACAAAGGATCTGTTTTTGCAGGAGACCATAAAATGCTTGAGACCACCTCTGAAGAACAAAGGACAAACCTGTCAAAGTCAAATTCAGCTGCATTTACTGAATGACAACAGGGTTGGACTGCAGAATGACATCACTGTTTTTCAACTACACAGGAAGGAGGGGGGAACAGAGCAACACACAATACAGTGCCCTATATAATGTGGAGTGGCTGGAGGGGATTGCAAAGGAGAAACAATCTCAGTATTACCCTTTGGTTTACTGCCATTCAAGGTTAAAGGTCAAAGGGTAGCATGATGAACATAGTCTAAGCTGTGATTTCATAGGTGGCCGTGGCTCAGGTGGTAGAGCAGATCAGCTACCGATCGGAAGGTCGGTTGGCTTCCCCAGTCTGCATGTCAAGTATCCTTGGGAAAGATACTAACCTCAAATTGCCCTCCGATGCGTTCATCGGAGTGTGAATGCGTGTGAATGCAGGTTAGTTTGCACTTGTGTATTGTGTATAGAAGTGCTTGTACGAGTGGGTGTGAATGGGTGAATGAGGCATGTATAGAGTGCTTTGAGTACTCCAGGAGAGTAGAAAAGCGCTATATAAGAATCAGTCCATATATAGAACTCCTTATGAGTACAATGAAATCATCTAAAGATGGGGCAAAATAAGTTGCATTTACCCTTCAGTGTCCAAGCCTCGCTTGTTCTAGTAGGGCCATTCGTTTTTGAAGGTTATCAAATTAGATGTCATGTTATAAAGGAATATATTGAGTTAAAGTAATGTGCCTTGAGCTACCCCTCATTTTTTTTTTTATATTGTACTTCCTAGAAGCCAGGCTTTCTGGTATTTTTTTAAAAGAGGTCTCGAGCACTAATTCGCTAGGTTCTCCCTTTTTCTGTAAACACTGGCTTATTATTCACAACTTCTCAGTCCTTATCCCTGAGCATTTTCTTAAAAAACATTGATAACGGACGAACACTATGTAAAAGTCATGTCCTTTAGAGATACAAAAATTAAAAAGTAAACAAATAAATAAAGATACATCAGATGCATCTGGCTTTTCAGTTGTTCCATCTACTATTTGTTGAAGGCTTATTGGAAATAGTCTTGGTGAAAGGGTGGCTGTCAAGGAGCCTTACAGAAGGGAAATGGGGAGGAAAGGTGAAAAATCAGCAGCTTATGGAGTGATTACTGCACATTTGAAATTTTTGGTTTCAAAGACTATTGAATTTTCAAAAAACAAACAAAAAATATGTTATGATGTACAGAGAAGCTTAGGAGAGAGGTACAAAAGTGAGTTTCTACAACCACATGGTTGGTGGAGATTCTGTCATAATTTGGGGGCTGCATTTCAGCTAGTGGTGTCAGAATCTGGCATGCATCATCATCTGGAAAGCGTCTCATCACTTTTCAGTGTCACACTGATAACAAACACACTGCCTATTTTCCTAGCATTATACAAAGGAATAAGGAGTGGCTCACTGCTGGCATAGTACTGCAGTTTGCTTGTGCTACTGATACAAAATATTTTTTACATTTATTTGTAATTACCATGTCTATCATCAGTGGTCACAGTTTGGCAAAGGTTACACAGATTTTATTTTAAATAGTCTTTTGTCATCTATTAAGTAAAAAGTCCATTAAAAATAGTCATTTAAAAGCATTAAAACACAAAGCACTTGACATCATGTGACATTTTAATTACCGTAATTGTCGGGCTATAAGCCGCTACTTTTTGCACAAGCTTTGAACCCTGCGGGCTTTTAGTCAGGTTCATTTTCAGTTTATTCTCTCATAAATTTTGATTACTCCAGAGACTCGATTCT